CTTCAGGGGTCTGTCGTGCCACATCACAGGACACAGAGGGGCAAGTGCTCCTCTGTCCTTGCACCCAAAATGTGCTTGAAGATAAAAAGCGCTATGGGAAATCTCAAGCTGAACCATTTACACCGCTGTTCACATGACTTTATTTTGTAAAAAACCCTCTCAAATCTTGCCAGAAGTCAAGATTTCCCCATCCTGAGGGTATTTAGTCCCCATCTCATTAACTTTCATTTTAATGTACAATTGCTGAGGAGACAAATATAACCAAAATATTTTGTCTTAGGGAAAAGATCAGATACAAATCTATCCCGAAGCCATCAGAGATGTTTATCAGCATGTTTTTCTCTTTTCCTTAGCTGTATGAGCTTGCAGAAGAACCAGTTTTGCTCGGCTTTGGCTTTCTGAGAGAAGAAATGATTGCTGGAGAAATTCAGCTGGGCAGCAAGTCCCTGCTCGGGACGGGTTGATGATTTGAGCCTGGGATAGGAAATGAAAAGCATCGCTGCGTGGGATCACGTTGGGGTGCCCTGGGCGACGGAAGGACTTGGGTTTAAAAAAAGGAGAGAGATTTTTTTTCCCCAACAATTTACGCAGAAAAACATCCTCCGAGTGGGGTGTGATTTATTTCTGCAGTTGAAACTATCTGCTTCTCACTTGCAGCTACAACCAACCCAAGTTTACAAAATAATTAAAAAAAAGTGTTCAGGGTGGTTATTAAGCCAAATCTCACCTTCTGCCGCAGACTCTGCTGAGGCCGTTCCCAGGCACAGGGCTGTCCGGAGGGAGAGCACCTCAGGGCGTTTGACCGGCCCCATCTGCGAGCGCTGCTCTGGGTAATGGGTGAAAACAAATACCGATACAATTAATTTTTGCAAAGCTGGAATGAACTTTGCTTAAAAACTGCTTGAAAATGGAACTTTTGCCAAAATGAACTTTTGCCAAACATCCTGTCAGCAAAAAAACAATAGGAAAGGGCCGTTATTTTTTTCCCATTTTGGTACTTTCAAGCCACCATTCCCTTATGTTTCCTACTTTCTGTATGAGGTTAAACCAGGAGAAAAATGCTCCAGCGGCTGTGGGTAGAAGCACAGAGAGTGATGGAGGTGGAAGTGGGAAGGCTGAGATGGCTCGGGGGGCAGAGGGGGCCAAGCAGGCAGATTCCTCGCAGGGCCATCCTGCCATGGCGAGGACAGAAAGAGTTGAGGCTCCACATTGCTGGGGGAGCTTAGGTGCGGCTCTGCCTTCCTTGCTGGCCTTCAGGATTACAGCACTGGTTTGTCAGGCTTTGGGGAGAGGTTAGGAAATGCCTGTCCCAGGAGAGCTGCTCCCAGACCTGGCACTGGAGGGTCCTGTCCCTGTGGCGTGGGGTCATGATGGCAACATCTTCCCTGGGGACAAAGCTGGCCTGGAGGACATCGTCGGTGGGGAAGGCGAAGCAAATGGTGCACCCAGATTTGCCCTATGCAGGATGTTTTTGGTTTTGAACAGCTCTGAGAAAGCAGCCAGCACTCAGAAGAGCAAAAAGAATGAGATTTACTGTGACTGCTGCTTGGCCAAGGAGGAGGTGGTGATGATGTCCTGCCTCGTCTGCCCGGAGCATCGCCAGGCTGCCCTGGGGAGCAGTGAGCCCCTCCGAGGACACCGAGCTGCTGACCCACGGGTTAGAGCACGTAACTGTATAACAGGAACCTCGTCATGATGGACAGCCTGGGTAAGTGAGGAGTAAATATTTTTAGGTGTAACTCTAGAAGCAAGTTTGACAGGTAAGTGGGAAAGA